AAAGATACTAAAGGGAGATTATAGCCTAAATTTGTATGGGAGAAAAGTATCTCTGCAAAACATCTAAAAAATATTACTTCCCAGGGATATGTGAGACTTCCTCTGATAATAAAATTGCCTTTTTTCTGCATGAAATTGGCAAGTAATGACACACACTGTAGCTACAGTAAGGTGAATCGCTAGTTTGAGACAACTTTGCTCTGCCAATGTGAGCGTTGTGCATTTCCTTTTGGAGGCAGGTGACAAAGATCAATTCTCTTGTGCTCTGCACGTGTTACCATTGCTGGAGATACATCTATGTTGCAAAAATTACGTGTAGTAGACAAAACGGAATTTATTGACCTGGGTTAAAAGCTCTGTGAAGATAAGGTATATACATTGTGAAGGTAGGGTATATATGTTAGCACCTCAGTTAACATCTCTGAGGGATTCTGGGATTTGGTTAGAGACGATGTCATTTTAAGTTAGTCCTGTGTTTGCTTTTAGTACAAGACAGGATCGCATGTTCTTACCTTTCAATTTAAAAGCATGTCTTTGTCTGAGTTCTAAAAATAGACAAAAAAAAAAAAACAGTCCGGCCTACATACTGCCCAACTTTTGTGGAAAGCCGTGAGCAGCAGCAGGGATGCTTTCAAATGTATTTTGAATAATCTCCACATTTGATTCGAATATGTAGAATAGCCATTCCAGTGCCATCCTCTTTTATGCAGGGTTACATTCCACTGGAGAAAACAGATTTTCTGTTTTGAAGCTAGTTGGGACAGACTGGCTTCGGTTTTGTTCTTTAGATAGAGTTTATAATAGAGATGTTTCATTCTCCAGTAGAAATGTCAGCCAAAGCTGTACATGATGAATAGCTCTTTAAGAATATTACATTTGACCTGGAAATTGCATTGTTTCAGTTTCAGGCCAAGGGCATATTGTCTTGCAGACAGTGATGAGGAATCCTCCAGCGCTGGGTCTTCAGAAGAGGATGATGCTCCTGAATTGGCAGGCGAGAAGCAGGTGACTCCAGGAGCAGAAGGGTGAGCAGTCTACATAGTGATGTTCATGCTTTCCTTAATATAACTGATATCTTGGTCCTGTCCTATAATGCTCGTTGTCACACAGGGTGTCAGAGTGTGAGTATATCCAAGCAATTAAGCAGACACAACTCCATTTCTAGGGCAAGGAGCAGCAATCAAGCCATGTATGACAAACTGAAAGGAAGCCGCTCTGCCGAGCGTTTTAGCGTGCGGGGAGCATCGTTCACCGTACAGCGCTTCTGCAGAGCGGCCTGTGCAGTGCTCCATTTGACACCTCCTAATTGTTTCACTGTTAGATTACAGAGAGAGTCAAGTCTTTGGGCCAGAGAACCTGTGGGGACCTGCTGCAGCGTGTCTTGCCTGGTAGCAAAGCCAAGAACAGGATTTTGTGTGTGAACTCGAAACACTGTTTGGATACAGTATTGTACCCAGACTGATCCTGCGGATCCCTTACTTACAGTGTGTTCTTTTCTTTCAGAAAACAATAGTTACTCAAGCCTAGCTTTCTTGGCTCAGGGTTTTGTGTTTTGGTTTGGTTTTCTTTTTTTCCTCTTTTTTTTTTTTTTTTCCTTCCCTTCTCAAAGGGCTTTCAGTGTCTGGGCTGTGCAATGCTGCCCTCTGGTGCTGTGCAAGAATTTTAAAGAAAATTTCCAAATGTCAGCTTTGCCACGTCATTCTTGTTTTGGCTGCTGTTCTGATTTTTTTTTTTTTTTTTTGCTTTTTACATCTGATTGAAATTATGCCATGCAACGAGAAATCTGTAGTAACTGTAAAATGGCTCAGACAATCGCAATGTTTCCTATGTCTGAACACATCTCAGTGATTTTTTTTTTTTTACAGTGAATATACCAAAAAGGCTCCATGACATATTCAAAATGTTCAAAGGAGTTTCCTTGGAGTTTTGAAAACTATGTGATGAATTTTTTGAATTATTTCAATAGCTGTATTTCATATTTAAAAAAAAAATATAGATCATATAAAGAACTGTTTAAGAACAAAGAGGGAGAACAAAGAATTTTTAAGTAAAATACTGAAAGAATTTCCTTACACCTTTCAAAAATCTGCATTACTACCACTATAGAAACTGATGAGAGAGTAACTACTTTATCTGGGTAAAGTTACAGCTAGTGTAAAATCCAGAAGTTGAAATTAATTCACCCCTTTGATATCAGCTGAGGAGTTTCTTGTCTTATGCTAAGGAAAAAGTTCTGTAAAAGGCTCGATAAACATGAATTAGGATAGGAAAATGTTCCTTAGCAAGGCTATGTCTGCTACATAACATCAAAAGCTACAATTAGGTATAATATAGTGTGTGAAAATATCACACATGCTGTTCTTAGAATGTATATTTCTGAGATGGGGTAGGTGTGAGAAAAGACATATTCAGGCATTAAAGCATCTGTTTTAAAAGCCAGGATGCTGTCTGACACTATTGCCAAGGAAAGTAGCCTCTTTTTGCAGGCGTAGTTAACCATTTTTGCCATATCATTCCACCTACTGCCAGAATTGCTTTCTGCTTCTTTTTCACCACCTTTATACTGCTCATAAATGCTACAATACCTTAAAATACCTTTTTGTTCAACGCACACGGTTAAACAGATTAGACATGATGGTTGGGCCTTCTGTGCTCATGTGCATATGTCTTGGTGCATCTGTGTCTTGACAGTTTTGTTAGGATGGTAATAGACAGGTTGTCACTTCTAATGCCGCCTTGCTGGCATAAATGATGTAAGTATATTTGCACTTGTAAAAAATGTTGCATTTCCAACGCCATGTGGGAAGGAGGAGTGTTCAGACTGGACAGAATTTCTGCCAGACACTTGTAGCTGACAGTACGGCTGCTGTGTGCAGGCTCTGGTAGGTAGGTACTGCTTGGACATGTGAATACATATCTGTTTAGAATTTTTAGATCAAAAACTCTAATGATTTAACAGGAAATCCATGGGTGTCTTAGCAAACAATAGGTTTAAGAAAATTACCTTGACGTACTCTTTTTCTGTTCTCTCTCTAAAGGTATGTCGGAGGACATCGGACAAGTAAGATCATGAGAATTGTGGATAAAATTACTAAGTCAAAATACTTTCAGAAAGCAACAGAGACTGAGTTCATTAAGAAGAAAATTGAAGAGGTCTCCAATACTCCATTGCTGCTAACAGTTGAAGTACAAGAGTGCAGAGGAACGCTAGTAATTAACATTCCACCTCCACCTACTGACAGGATATGGTAAGAGGAACTCACTGCGGAACTGGGCAGTGTTTCAGGTGTGTGCTACCCAAGGGATTGTAACTAAGAAAAAAGGTAAAATGCAGCTGAAATGGGTTCTGGAAGAGGTGCTATACAAACTAGCTGTAAATGAGGTAGAAACTGCTATTAAAAGAACATTGACAGTTAACACATTTAAGGATATGCTTTGTTGGAGTGTTTATGATAAAACCTGTCCTGTGTCCTCTCCTAAGGTATGGCTTTCGAAGACCTCCCTACCTGGAATTAAAAGCTCGGCCAAAACTTGGTGAGAGAGAAGTGACTCTGGTGCATGTAACTGACTGGATAGAGAGAAAACTAGAACAAGAGTTTCAGGTGTGTTTCTTTTACATTTTCATTTCATTCATGATACTTTTGGCCTATTACAGGGTTGGGGTTTTTAATTTTTGCATGTCCCGTATTTCATTCAAGACTAGGTAGTAACCCCCACTGCTTGTTGTTCAGTGGGAAGGATGATAAGAACTCAGCTGAAACTTGACTTCTGGGATGGTCTCAAGACCATGTATAGACCTGGATGGAAATCTGGTTTAGCACTTTCAGTATAATTTTAGAGCCCAAAATGCCATTTCTTTGAAATGGGTACCATGTCAGCATTTGTAGTACTTAAATAAAAACATGTTCCTAGGTGTTGGAGGGCCAAACTGTTGTCTAAAACTAAGAACAGATGAGGCAGTAAGGTGTTCTGTTACTACTTCCTTTAAAATATTTTTTTAAAATCACATTGACTGTAGTACAAAATAGGGAAAAAACCTTCAAATTTACAAATACTTGTAGGATAGGAAAACCGTGTAGTGACCAGATTCATTCCAGACTCCAACCTGTACAATTAACCAGAAATCAAACCTGCTTATTTCATTAAAGGTGCAGTTTGAAAGTATATGGGTAAGAGCTGAGAAAGCAGCAGAGTTAAGAGAAGTTGGTATGGTTCCTGTAGTGCCATTTCGATTTAATGGAAAGTGCAGAAATCCTCATTTACAACTTACGACGCAACTAAATGGCTTGTGTTAATGGACGCTGTATGGCTTCAGTATGGGCGTTGATCAAACAATGCTAAACTCAAGGACCTTTTATCTGGACATTTTTGTGGCATTTTTTAACTAAACAAAACAAACCCCTAAGGTTTCAAGTGGCATATAAAATGTAACTTGATCTAATTGCATCTTTTTCACAGAAAATCTTTGTCATGCCAAACATGGATGATGTTTATATTCCTTTAATGCACTCAGCCATGGATCCCCGCTCCTCTACGTGCCCTCCTAAAGATCTGATCATGGAGGCCTCTGATCAACCATGACATGTGAAGACTTGCAGTTTACAGTATTACAAAAGTTATTCACATGGTTTTATAAACTGTGCTGTAGTTCTCATCCTTAACTTGTGCCACTTTCCCCCTCCCCAAGGACTGCCTATAACCATACCTTTGTGCTCACTTGCCTGGTTACTGTTCCTGTGTACTTCAGCTACATGAAGTTTCATTCCATCAAGCAGTTGATTTATTTTTGTACTGGCTGCCATCAGGATCTGAACTCAGAGGCTAAGATGACCTGTTCTTTGGGGGAGGGAGGAGGAACCTAACTGTAATAGATCAAGGAGCTTGTTGACACACATTTCGTTCAGCTTGTTTTCATGCTATGTTAATGTGCATTAAAGCATTGAAAGGTTGTTTGGCAGCAAAGGAACTGCGTGCCAAATGGAAAAAATCCTAAATAAGGAATGAATTTATAAAACTGGAAGAATATTTTTCTTTCTCAGGCAGTTGGAGGTGTAGAATGAACTGTTTTATGTTCTTTCACTTCTGCAGTCAATAGCTTGTGTCAAGCAATCGAAATATGAAATGCTTTCAGGATAAAAAGAATGTAAATTGGATGTATAGGTAATATTGTGATTCAGTGTGGTATATACATATTACTTTTTTCATACAGAACTTGTGCTTTTTTTGGGAAGTAGCCATAAAACACACACAACTATCAGTGAAGGTGGGACTCTCAGATTTTTGTAAATGAGAAAAAAGTTGGCAAAGCCATGAGACCAAACCATAGCAAGCCGCCTTATAGTGAGGTACAATCACCTTGGTTCATGATTAATTCTGAATGTTTATAAAGACATGAGCACACACCTAAAATGTCAGTACTGCACATTACCAGAAGTACTTAGTTACCTACTGTGTATAGAGCCTCTTGCTACAATGAAACACACCGAGTTTTTTCTTATTAGGGGAGTTTGTTGCTGTGAGTCTTTTCCATTGCACTGTGTTTACACCCAAAGCATGGGACCAAATTCTCACGTTACAGCCGTGCCGCTCCCGGCATCACATCGCTTGATGTTTGTGGAAACGGCTGTGACTGGAAGATTTTGACCCCCATGCATTGGTTTTTTGGACTTCGTGGAATAGGAATTCAAGCATTGCAGTTATTCAAGCTGATCGTGATGTAATTAAAGACTGTTTCTGCTAATTAATGGCCAAAACCAAGGGGGGAGGGGGAACTGCCTTTTATTTCTATTTGGTATGATGATTCAAGGCTAAACGTATGCAGGAAAATCAATATTTGAACACTACATATCCACTCTTTAACACATGTAATATTTTTCTGATACTCAGTGTTGCCAACTGTTCATGGATGTCAGAAAACATTTTAGTTTACAAAGAAGGTGAGTTTTGGCTCTCCTTTTATAACATGATTTGCTTTTTTTTAGAAGTAATTTTTTAAGAACTTTTTTGTATGTTGTGTTGTCACATTTGATGTAAATCAAAATTTCCATGTGTAACTTGATGATTTACCATCTCTAAATGAAGATACTATATTGAAGGTTTTTTAAACAGCACCTTGCCTGAAACATAAAAGAAAACTAGCATTTAATATATTTAAAATTAATTCTATATTTGAACGCCTATTTTGGTTACCTTTAATTGAAATATTAGTAGGTTATATTTGTTACCTGAACTCCTCCTTGACCATTCCAGGCTGTGTATATTCTGGGGTTTGCTGATTATGTAGGCATTATTTGCCTTTCATGAAGTCTGCATGTCTTGTACGCAGGTCTTTTATATGATTTAATTTCTATGTGCAATAACTAAAGTCAAAGGACTAGATGCACTAATGTGTAAACAGATTTAGACTTACTACACAAGATTGTCATATTGCACTTCATAAACTGTGGGTAACTACAATCTGCTTGCTTTGTTTATTATTAAATAAATTTATCCCATGTCAAACAATTGCTCAGTAAATATTTATTTCTACATAGTGCTTAGTCACTGTCTTCTGCAAGTGGTTTCAAAAACCACAGTAGAAAGGCAACTTGCTAAGATGACAGTGTGCCATGTGCTTTTCAGATTTTTTTAATATACCTGGAGTTGTACTTGGTGGTTATAGCATAAGATGATTTTAGGGTTAACCAGGGCAGTCTGTTCTAGCTCTAAAAGGAAAAGGTTAAATTGAGTAATTTTACTGTAGTGAAGAGAAGCAAATTTTACTGCAGTACTTGGAACATGGTTTTAAAATGTTTTGATTTTACAGCTGTGAAAACCTTTAAGTGATTACCAGGACTTACTGAACAGAGGAAGCATGCAGTACCCTCCGCAAGTTTGGTGGTGTAAGCCTCTCTGAGCTTAAGAATCTTCTCTTACATCTTCCTAGACATGCCTAGAACTCTTCTATGTCCAATCCTGTCATCAGTGTGGGTATAGATACAACTTTATTTGCAGAGAACACTATGCATTCCTCTAGCTTCTCTGCCTGCAGGACAGCACAAGCACAACTGTTGACAGAAGAGATGGGGGCCCTTTAAATAGCTGCAACTGAGGTCCCTGGAGTGTTTCTCTTGTGCCAGATGCTTTTCTCTTGCTTAATAGGTAGCTCACTTTCACCCGGGTGCTTTACTCCAGCAACAGCTAGGCATGAATCCCCGGACTCCTCCTGCTTGTTCGGGAACACACCAGTGCAGCGGCTAAAGTCACGCTGAATCAGTAACCTGGATCGCCTTTCACGCCGACATCATCCCCTCCCCTTACACCAGGCCCCAGAGCCGCGGGCTCCCCCTCTGGCAAGGCCAGCAGTGTCTCGGAGCAGGCCCTGGCCCTCTCCCC